CAAGGAAAACTCTCTAAGTTACAACCATAACAAGTTGGGTTTTTTTTTTCTGTTTTTAAAATGGCACTTTTTGACTGATATTAAGCATGCACGGTTGAAGTCAAAGTGCATTAAATCAGAGGATATAATTTAAAAGCAGTGGGGTTTGCTTCTTTTTTCCCACATTCCCTATTTCTCATCTCTCATCAAGTCCTTATATATGTTTAAAAAAAGTAACTAAAGGTTACAATATTAATGATATGTTTGCTTATTTATTATGTGCAATGAATTTTAAACTCAGGCCCATATGAAGATCCAAAGGGAGATGACCAAACTAGGAGAGAGTAAAGCAAGGAGAGTGGGTTAAAAGAGACTGTGAATATATTTTCATGATAAATTTTCATGCTAAATTTTTGCATTTTGAGTGTCTTTAAAAAAAAAAAAAGGTTCTTCTGATGGTATTCACCAACGAAATAAAAATTAAGTAATTAAACTTAAGTGTATACATTTCCCAAATTTTATCAAATTATTACACTTCAGTGACGTGCTTATGCTAAATAAACAAAGCTTACCATAACAACTCAACACTCCATACAGCATGATATTTATACAACTGGCTTGGTACACACTGAGCTTAACCCTTTGATTCCAGGAGTCATGATTTCATGACATCCCATCCTCTTATAGAATGCATTTGTACTGATGTTGAAACGACAAATCTCCCAGCCTGAAGGAAAAAATATCTAACCAATTCATTAGATATATTAAACTATGGGGCTGAAGATAATGATCTATTTATTCTCATTGACATAAGGTTCACAGTCTGACTCTGTGAAAAAAACTACTTTAGAGACATTACTGGGAATAGAAACAACTAGGCAAAGAAATAGAATTATAACTGTGCACATCACCATTCTATACAGACAACAACAGTATGTGTATCATGGACAGATTAGTCTAAGCATAGTAATTGCCTACCTGGAAGGGAAATAATTGCAATGCTGTACATGAATACCCACCAATGGCAGAAAATTGACAGCATTTACCTTTGGGTTATGCTTGTGCTCTCACAGCTCTTGAAGAATCTCAAGTCCCGCTCATGACTGTAAATGTTACATAAAAATAAAGCTGCCAGTATTAAGACTCAAGCTAGATGACACCAGGTTCTTCAGTGGCTCTAAGGACAGTGACTGTCTGCCCTAGGAGAAGGAACTACATGTTCTAAGAGCCAAGGTGACTGTTTTTCCAGTTATGCCTACTATGGAAATTTGGTGATAAGGAGAGAAACCCTTGAAAGCAATTAGTAAGCTTCACCGTGGATTACCATTATAACCAATTCTACAGAAAAGAAAAATATTCTGAAGCAAAAAATGGTACTACAAAAAACTTAATCTTACTACAGCAATATTTTACTGGATGCACAGTAAAATAGTAAATGCTATTATCTCATCATATTCAGGTTAACATTACCCTGAACTCTGATCACAAACTCTCCACAGCTATTTTGCAATATGTCATTAATCAATGTATGTACTGATTGGATCCATTCAATTGGTGCATCAGTGTAATGAATGGCATATATAAACATGTTTCAAATACATTTATTCAGATATCTATACATGAAAGTAAAATCACTACCACAATTGGTACTCAAGCTTGTCAAAAAGGATGTTTTTCTTCTTCTGTTTTACATAAGACATGCTAATGGTTATGCCATCTGCACTGTGAAACCCAGACAAATGTAAATGAAAGTAATAGTACATCAAGACAAGCATCTATCTAAAACTGCAATTTTTACAGGTATTTTTTTAACTCACAATCTAAATATAAGCCTCCTGTCCCTGAAAATATAGGATAACTACTAGTAAATGTAACTTCTGCACTAGAAACTAAAACAAAAACTTCTGCACTTTTACAGTAGATCACATAGCTTGTGATACATTTGTAAAGGCTTTTCATGAGGATACAAACGACAGAAGTTATTCCAGGAAAGTTTCAGCAGTTCCCCTAAAGACATCCCCTCAGTAAAGCACAGTAGAACATGATGACTTACCGAATACCCTCTTTTTTGCAAAGTTGAGGACACAAATTTGAAGGTTTCTTCAATCAGCTTTCAACTTGCTGATTAGCTAGTAGGTGCTGCAAGTCACTAAAATACTTGATGCATTATGAAACAACAAAGAGAACATACATAAAAACACCATATGCTACTTTTCCCCCAAAAAAGATGGCCACTAAAATAATTACTATTTTTTTTCCTCTATATCTCATGGAACAATAAAATAGTTTACATCAAACTACAGAGCACGAGATGCACGGCAAGGCTTACCTAATAGCTACATTTGTTTGCAGATGTGTGAGCTAGTTTTAAAGGTTTTACTGCATTTTTACTAGATTTATAAATCTATTTTAACATATCCACAGTTGCCAGATTAGTAAATTGCTCTGAAACGGAGGAAATTAGATATGCACTAATTTAAAAGTATTTAAAAATATTGGGAGAAGTCTGTTTTCTCAATCACAAACACAAGTACAAGTATTCTTGCCTTATAACCTTCAATTTTGTCTTATAAAGCTTATACAAGTTTAGCAATTTCTACTGCTAGAAGATTTTGGCTAAAGTTATCATTAAATTTGCCATAAGAAAATAATAATGCTGTACAATTTTATGACAGTATTTGGTCAAACAGGCAACACGATGATCAAAATGTGAGTTCCCACTACATGATGAACAATGAATAGTAAGAGACAGAAATAGAAAAGCTCAAAGGACTCACGTCCTTTATATATCCTTTTCACTAAAAAACATAATTAAAATGTAGCTTGCGCTCATACCTGAATTTACGTGGTATTTGATACATAAAAGCAAATTGTGGGAGCAAATTCCATTTTTCCTCTCCTTTAAAAATGAACCAAATGAAGTGTTCAAGGCCAATAAGAGACACTACGTACACACTGATGATGAAAGAAAAAGTTGGAAACGTAAGCAATAAACTAGACTTTAGAAAGCATGAAACAATTGTGAAAATAAAATTATTTGCTTTATTTTCTTCTTCCTGCCTCTCAAGTGTGACTCAAAAGATGCTGATGCCTCCTGGGAAACAAGTGATACAGCACCAACACATCAAGCCCTAGCATTTAAAGGGCACCAGGCCATGATTAGTGTTTTAAAAGCATGGAAGCACAAGACTCTCTCTTCATCTCATCATCCTCTGGGTTCTGTGTATGATTGTCTTTGCCTCCAAACATGGTTTTCTATCATTTCATCAATGCCTACCACAAACAGTGTACCCCCAGACTTCTTTAACATTGAAAAGAAAGTTTGTGAATGGGTGGAGAACATGAAAAGAGAAGTCAGTCCTGGTCCATGCTGGTTTAAAAGGTGGAGGATTAAAGTGAGAAAAAATATGGAAAATGTATGGAAAAACTGAGAAAATACCACTATTCATGCCTGTTTCATATACTTTCCTTATTGCCTGGTGCTAGCCAATTTAGAGACAGAACACAGGGCTGGATGGATCTTGTACACTTCTTATACAAACCATGTTATCTTTCAGAATGACGAGCTAGCAGAATAAAGCACTTTCACAATATTCATTAAATCAATCATTTGCATGGTTCAACCTTTCAAGGTCACTAATTCCACTTTAAAAACTTAAAAACCCATATAGTTCATACGCTTCTACCTTTATGGCTACTCTTATGTGCCTTCAGTGCAGAAGTTATTTGATACAAAAATGTGAATTTGCATTTACAAAGCAAAGTCAAGGGTAAAGAACGGGAAGTTGAGAGGGTCTCAGGACTCAGCCTCAGCCAGGAATGGACTACAACTACAGTATGGCAGGATGCCATCATGTCATGCTTTCCTTTTTTCCATTTTCTTTAGCCATATTCCTAAATTCTTGTTTGGTTCTGAGCAAATAAATAAAACCTTAAAAGTGTATTTGAAGAGAGCTGATCAGCTGTTTGCTGTGTCCAACACTGCTCTACTAAGTTTCACAAAGAAAAGGAGACAATGTGAATCACATTCAGAAACTGCACAAGTGAACAAATTTCACAACATTTCCCTGGTGGAGAAAAAAAATACATTCTAGTGCCTGGGGTCCTCCATTATGCATGACAAAAACTAGAAATGAGATAAAAACACCCTACTCCATCAGAAAACAGGGGCAGTCTTGAGAGAATAAATGCACACCCAGAAAAATAGATGTGAGGAAAAGAATGGTAGGATTTATACTTTTTTTAATTTCCTGAATAAAATAAAATTGTCTGCTATAAAATGTAATTCAGCAGTTAAGCACCCATATTTGGTCTATATACAAGAGAAAACAAGTTTTGTCAGCAGAATACAATTTGATATGGAACTCTGCATTAGGAATAAATGATTAATACCTCATAAAAATACCATACTGATAAAATGTTCTAGGAATAGAACTCTCTTTATGTTTTTACTAATGCATTTAAAATAACTATTCAATAGCAGAACTTTTGTTTACTCATTCACAATCTAAAGCCCAACAACATCCTAATGTGACATTTCATGACATATGTTTTTTTCTAAAATGTCAGAAGCAGCTTTCATAATTTCATGCACTTGTGCTGGTAAGTTTCTGAACACTTCTCTGTCACTTAGGTATAGTAACTGTGAGGTATTTAGCTTTTCTCTTTTTTTTCACAGATACCATTTTGCTCCTAGTCTTAACATGTTTTTACAATTTAAACCATGTACATATAAAAATCACATACCAGTCTTGTAACATGTCTGTAAAGAATTAATGTACCACAGTTACTGAACTCAGACTTAGTCTCAGACCTTTTAAGCATGTACAGCCACAAAAGGCTTTTGTATCCTACAGTGATTTTCCCTGTGAAGTCAGCAGCAAGAAGCCTGTAGCCAGCAGCATGTGAATATTCACACACACGGCGTTAGGGACAGGCACTGCCACACACCCCTCACGTGTCAGCGAGCTCGGCACTCTTCCCTGACATTAAGGTCCCAAAAGCAAGGAGACTTTACTAACCTGCAGCGGTCTCTGTTTCTCACTGCCCTTAGGAGATTTCAGTCCACTTGTCTGTTGCTGTAAAAGCAGCTGCCTTGCTGCCTGGAGTGCCTAAAAGTAAAAAAAAAAAAAAAAAAAAAAAAAAAAAAAAAAAAAAAAAAAAAATAAAAAAAGAAAAAAAAAAGTAAATAAATTCAACCAATTCCTAGAAAGAAATCAGTTACTCATTGCTAATTTTAGGTAAAAGTCCAATTGAATGAACAAAATCCCCTCCTATTCGATTTGTATTTGCTAGATTTCAGACTTCAGGGTTGTGGTTTTTTTTTATTTGAAACATTAAAAAAAATATTCTGAAAGTACATATATAAGACTTCACTAGAATTTATGGATGTACATGAAATCCTGCAGGAAATAAAGTTAATTTGTTTGAAGTGCTTGAAGAGGAAAAATCATAAACTGCATCAATAGCCTCATTTCCACAAGGAACTTGTCTTTGAGTGTTCAACTAAAATGCCCACTCCCTTGCAAATTATCATTCAATTTGCATTTTTGTATTACAATTTGAAGTAAAAGCAAGTAGACTTCAAGTGTTACCAGAAGCTGTAATTAAATTTGACAAATCAACATCAGATTATCTTGAAAGTGAATTAATAAGGATATTCATTGAAGATTAAAAACACTTTTTGTACTTACAATTCAAGGAGAAACCTCTCCTTTGACAAAAAAAAAAAGAGTACAGTTTTAATGCCAAATAAAAATGAGTGGTTTTAATTTGCATTCTTAGGAACATCAGAGAACAAAGAAATTATTACTCAACCAACCAGATCAGGCTCAGGGATGACAGTATACCAATCAAAATAGAAGATGTTTTCATTTATTTTATGTTTTCATTCCAACTCAGCCAAATACAGTTAAACATATGAAATGTAAACAAACATTCTACCTACCCAAAGAATGCTAATCTATATTATTTTTCCCTATAAAATTATTTGTTAAACGTCAAGTGCTATAAAGTGGTACTTATTTAGAAATTTAAAAAAAAGCAAACCAAAAAACGTGATTCAAAACATTTCCACTGAAACTACCTGGAGAACTCATTTTTTCCCCTTTGAAAAATCAGCTCAATAAATAGCAGTTATAGCTTTACAATACATCACACTATTATTTCTGTTATTAAAACCTACTGTAGATGGAATGTATTGCAACAAATGCCATTTGATCAATGTTCCCTAAAATAATAAAGACTCTCAACTGATAAAGAAAGGTACAATTTTGATTAGCCTCAAATGAGCTGGTTTTTAAGATAGTTTCTAGTATCCATGACAACAGTTGCTTTGACAAGATGTGCATATGGCATTACACTGCCAGCTGGTGTGAACAATGTTTGAACTACTGCATTGAGATGCTGAGCAAACAGAAAAAGTTGCCACGTCTTAACCCTCAGGGAAGGCAGTCATCCCCTGATCAATTATGAAAAGACAGAGAGAGGGCTGCTACAGTCTGGCTCCAAGCAAGTTTTCTGAGAAGGCAGGCAGACATCGAAAACCAAAGTAAACAAAGTGAATGCACTAGTACCATCTCCTAACAACATTGATTTGTCTCCCCATAGAAGGCCCTGGTACAAAGTTTGCAGAGCAGACTTTTAACATTTGGAGACATTCCCACAACAATCCCTGTATTGTTTCATCAAATTCTCAAGTAATTACAGGTCAGCTACACAAAGAATATACATTCCTCTGAACCTAAGCAATGAGACGCACAGAACTATCTTCTCTCTGCCAAAACTAAGCAAAAGTTAAGATATTTAAAAGCGCACTTGAAATATTTTGTTACCAAGGAACCACTGGGCGCATGATCTCTTCTGCACTCACAGTTCTTATGCAGTATTTCTCTGCCTGAGATCAGAGTTAAATGTATCTGTTGATTTCAGGGGCACCAGGATTTGCTCCCAACTTCTTGCAGTGGTTGAAGCAAAAACAGATTAAAACCACGAACACAAGATATGTGGCAAATTTGTATTCCTTAATCTCTAGTGCTCTCCAAAGGGAAAACCTGAATGAAAGCAAGAGAACTACTGCACTCCTGAATTCACGAGAGACTGTAGAGGAAAACTAACCTCACCACTTGGGGTGATACTGCCAGGAGAATGAGAGAAGAGATCTGGAGTACGAGGAAATGGAAAAAAAAAAAAAAAAAACCATAAAGACAATAATCTTTTATTTTTGGCAGTTGCAGAAATCCATCTTCCTCAGCAGCAGTGTCGTCACATCAATACAATAAAACAAGCAAGTAAGTATCTCGTAAATCTGTACATTTACAGTACTTGAAAATTAGAGAATCATAGTCTGCTGCAGCTTAGATTTAATCTAGACTGATTTCAAATTGTGGCTAGCATACTCCTGTGGAATGAGCCTAAGAAAGTATGACTTCCTACAGCTAACTACAAAAAGAGTCACACTTCATGAAAAAGCAAGGCAGCACAACAGGATATGCTTGCATAAAAGGCTCTACTCCTTAAACTATTTTGATTCATATGTGCTGGTTGGGATATCTCTAAAGGAGTAAAGGCTTATCTTTTAATACAGAATGTCTTATAAATGATGACTACCTGAATACTTCAGTGATCTTATTGTGGCAGTTTAGATTATTGTAAACACAGGAGATAGAAGAAGAACAGAAAACAATTTCAAGAGATCAGAGATGATTTAAAACTCATAAGGAGAAATCACTGTCAGCCTTTGTTCTTAGAGCAGTCAACATGCAGTATTTTTTTCTCCAAGTGTGCTGCTTTACTTTACATTTTGCTACATGGTAAACAACCTCTCAGAAACACTGTTAATTTCAAAGCATTATTACTGACATTATTCATAAGGGAAGATCATGAGACTATAAAATAGTAGCTCTAAAAATTCATTTGCTGCTATTGAATCTTTGCAAAACAAATTGACAAATTGAAAGTATCTTACAAAATTTGTAGTTTAACATCTACACTTCCAGTAAACACCCATCCCATGTATCATTTATAAATTTCTCTGACAATAACTCGTGATCTAAAAACAGTGTAATGAAGACAAAATAACAGATGCTTATAAATCTGACAAATCAAATTTATGTTGAGTCCCACCTCAAGTAAAGTGCAGAAAGAACAGATTCTAGGGCACTCAAAATTGTATCTAGTTCCCAATAACACTTGTTTCGAATTTTGTAGGAACTTTTCCTTAATTATCTAAATTAGTAAAACCATTTAAAAAATCCAATGTAGACAAAATCAATAAAAAGAACTGAGGATTAGAAATTATTTTCATTACATAAATGAAAATCATTATGATGTTTTAAGTAATGGCTATATAGGAAGGAAAATTTGGGCATATGGTTTCCAGAACTCACTGTGTTTCTAGTAAAATATTTATTGGGAACAGTACTTCTTAATATTTACTATGAAGCTTTGGCATAGCTAAAACACAAGCAGAACAGAAATGAAAATAATTGCATATAACTCACACTATTAAAGTTGATAAATTGTGGTAGACTTTGCTGTTTGTTGGCAATATTACTAGGAGATATAACTTCCTTTAATATTGTATTTCAAACCCTTCTGTTTGATCTAAGTGTGATTCAAAATTGTTTTTAAAGTTTTACCACTTTAATAAAGTGAAAGCTGTCACCTAAAGATGGTAAGCTTATTACTCTGTTTTTTAGAAATTAAATATATGTGTATTTTTAGGAAACAGATGTCACTCATATCCTTCCTTTAAAACCAGGAATGTTTAACCTATCAGCCTGTTGCATTTGAGATGTTAAAATGAAAAATGACATCTATGCCCATTAATATCATCAATGTATAAACAGCACAGCGTGACACATTCTTGAGAGCTGAAGGCTACAAAATCTCTCTGAAACATAAATAACAAAGCACTCAGAAGGATATTTGATGTTGATATTCATCTCTGAGAAAAACACTGCTGCCTGGGCTTCTTATGAAAATAGATGCAGCCCAAATGGATCCCCTGTAATTGGTTTCAGATAGTGAGGTCAAAAGAAATATGATACAAGAAACTATTATGTGGAACAGGCGAAACAAGAATGTTTATACAGGCACTCCCTATTTATACTGACAAGAGGTGTATACTCTGCAGATAACCAAAACATTTGCCAGAAGTCGACCAGATTCTTTTCTTTCCTAATTCTGAATACCTATTTTATTTTTTCAAATGACTGCATACCCTAACATTCCTGCTGAAAGTAAAATAAGTTTCTGAACATCTAAGTTTCCAAATGGCTGAATATGTCAAGCAAGAGTCATCTCACTGGTAGCACTATGCAACCGAAACATATCAACATGCTAAGCTGGATTTAAGGCCAAAGACTGCTCTGCACTGGTTGAATAACAACTTAACCAAATGATTACACAGCTACATTTATTATAAAAAACACTTCAGGAGAACCTCTGACCCTTTATAACCTGCTCAGGGGCTATTCTCTGGCTGGCTCCCAACAAGAATCCCAGAATTACCCATATTTGTACAAAACCCTCAAAAGATAGTGACTGAAAGACAACATTGTTTAAGTCTTCCTAACAGCACTCAAATGATGTGGCTAAACCTTTGTCTCTCACTGATTGTGTTTGCCCAGAAAGTTCTCTAATGAATATCAGAGTCAGTCAGCAGCACAGAATCTTATAATCTTTCCAAATGGAGTAGCAAAGCAGCTAGAACTATTCAAAGAATCTTGAATTTAAGATGATCCAACTCCTTTCCAGCAGCAGTCTCTCCAGAAGCCTTGATAGAGAAAGCAAACTCCCATGTTCCCCAGTGAAAAACACTCTTTTTTCTCTAAGCCACACAAAGAAAATTGAGGACAAATGTGCCACATCGGAAAGCCACCTGTATGTAACAGAAATCCAAGCCACATAACCTGCCTGATTTTACCCACAAGAGATAAACTGAACAATTTTTACAGTGTTTGCCTATAGAAGTAGACCAGATAGCTAAGGCTGTTGGCACCAATCTCAAGTAATATATTACACAAAAAAAACTAGACATTCCATAAGAAGGATTTCACTCAATTAACCCAACATGGGACTACGCCAATACTCAAGCGAAAAAAAAAGG